AAAAAAAAAAGCTAAGTTACTTTTTAAATGTATTAGTTTACTAGAATCATAAAGCTTGAGTACCACGTATACTCAAAATAATAATATTGCTATTAGAGGGGGGTGTGGGGGTGTGGGAGGAAGGTTGCTAGAGATGGGAGTTGGAGTGGAGGAGGCCAAGATTGGGTAGAGAGCTTAGTGAAGAGGAAGTGTTGTTGAATTTGCTGGGTAGTGTGCAGATAAGGGAGGGTAGGGAAGATAAATGGGAGTGGATACATGATGAGGATGGGAATTATGTAATTAAGAAGGCTTATGTTTTTCTGAGTCTTGGAGGTGGAATTTTGGATGAACAAGAATGTAAGTTGATATGGTGTATACTTGTTCCTTCAAAAGTTAGGTTTTTTGGTTGGAGATTATACTTAGATAGGCTTGGGGGTGATGTTGCATTGGGAGGAGTTGTTATGTGGTTTATGTAATGAGCAGGTAGAGGAGAATAGTCATCTATTTTGCACTTGGAAGGAGTCATGGAAGGTGTGGATAATGGTGCTGAAGTGGTGGGGTTTGCAAGGGGTTTTGCTGAATACTGTGAGGGGAATGGCTGAGGTGTTTATGTATGGGTTAGGGAGGAACATTGGGAGAGAAGTGGGTTCTTATATTTTTCTGTTGGTATCTTGGTACCTTTGGTATTGAAGAAATAGAATTGTTTTTCAAAATGACAAGAGAGATGGCTAGCAAGTGCTGGAAGCAATGCAAGTTAAATCCTTTACTTGGATTAAATATAGGGTGCAGGGATTCTTCCTTCTTTTTTTTTTTTTTTTTTTTTTTTTTATGATTGGCAATCTAATCCAATTGAATGTGCTTTAGCTGTTAAGAGGAATAAAGGATGTCTCAAACAGTTTTTGAAGAGTTCTACGCTGCGAGAATAATTGAAAAGGGGGATAGCTGCACTTTGTGGGATACATGAGATTTGCATTTGATTGCTTGGTTTCTAATCTTGGTTGAGTTCACCTGAATCTCTGGTTCTGCAACAACAAATGGCTTTAACATGCGATTACCAAAAGCACGAGACATAGCTAACACTCCTCCTACTCTCCAAGTACCTGACAACAGGATCAACCAGATAGTTCAGCATTAACTTCCCTGATCAAGGAAGTAGAAATGTCAAAATATCCCTGGTACCTACTATAAAGGAAATTCATTTTTTTTAATTAATTTTTCAATTAAACAAGGTAGGTTTTTAAAAATATTTACCTGCCCACATTATAAAACCTCCAGCATTTTCTATTCTCTTTCGTTCATCACTTCTATTTGGCTTATGATCCTCAGACAAAGGGATTGCTTCAGAAGTAAAAAAATAAGATACTTATAGGAGCTCCAGTTATAAATTCAGAGTTTTCAATATTCATTTTTCATGATTAGTGCAGATAATATTTTAGTAAAATATAAGCATCACGTCTAGCAGTCAGTAAAAAAAAGTAGTACATATTTCAGTGCTATACTTAACAAATACCAGATACATCCAGCCAAAAAAAAAAAGAAGTACCGTTGAAGCTATTTGTGCATAATTACTTGTTAAATTAACCTGGCAACTTTAAATACCAAGTGACCATGCTTAAACTTGATTTATATTTTGGTTATAGTTTAACTTGTAAATTATAATGCAAAGTCAACTATTTTAGCATACTGAAGAAAACATGTAATGACTATTGCTAATCAATAATATCAAACACAGAGAATGTTGTTCAAACATTAATGCAGAATTGTGGATGATGCTTCATTTTTTATAGATGCCAAGTAAGTGGGACCACCAGACACGAGTCAAGCTGTAAAGAACCAACACCATACATCTTATATCTGATTTTGACGTCAAAATCGAAAATTTATACTCAAGTTAAAAACAGCATTTTTCGTTAGTATTGGGTTTCACTTCTCACATGATTAATGATTATTAAAAAAAATCATAGTACCCTTTCCAGCTTTTGATATTATTGTCCGCGAATCTCCAACATTCGCAACATATAGGTGGCTACCCACTAATACTGCTGTTGAAGCAGTAGAACCATCATCTCGATAGGTATCTCTTTCAGAATCCAAGAAGTCCTCATCAGTCTGTTGATATGTTCCACCTGCAAGTATATTCAGATTACCAATGAATCAGAAAAATAAAGTAAAATTGGTTGGGAGGAAGTTCAAATTGGATTAAGGCCACATCCCCTGTTAAAGAAAACTAAAATACTAACAAGGATATACCACATCCAAGTGATCATAAATGCAGCAAAACAGAGATCTTGAACATACTTAAGGCTGTTTTGGTGTCAGTCAAAAATTGTGGGTGCTTCATAAGATTCTCAAACAAGCGTTCCTTCAAATACTCTGCAGCACGAGAACCACCATGCCCTGTACACACAGTGTGAGTTGATAGAAAAACAACACTTAAATTTTATAGAAAAGACATCTCTTGCCTTCTTTAGGAAAGATTAATTAATGGATCATCACGGCTTGAAACTCTTTTGTTTATAAAGAGGCACTTTGATACATAAGACTAGGCATTCACTTAAATTGGTTATCATCATCATGGAACCTAAAGTTCCTTCCCCTCTGACATGAACTCATTTAAATGAGACCACCAAGCTAACTTGGGGTTGAGGGCAATAATCAAATGGCTGGTGTCTCTGTTTTTCAATCAACTTCATAAGGTTGTACAATTATTTGTATCACTGCCCTGAGACCTAACCTACAGTCGCTTCCTTCACACATTTAAAAAACCAGTATATAAGATCATATTTAATGCCAAACAAACTCAAATGCATTTTTTTGTATTTCTTTGCCCCACTTAACTTCCATCAGTAATGTGCTTGTTTAAAACAACCAACTATAAGAAAAAAACAGGTTTATTTCTTCATGTTGAAAGCCTTCTTGTCTATCCAGACCTATACTTAATGACCATGGTTTCTTGTATCCTTCTAAAGGCAGGAGATACAAGAAAACTAACCATCAAAGATTCCAAACATGCAGACTGTCTGACCGTTAATCTTGGACGTTTTAATATCAAAATAATCCTCCATCGTCACTCTTTTCCCCCTGAAACTGGAATATCCACAGCTTAATTTGCCATCTTCACTGCAAAATCAGAGAAAACCCCAACTGTGTAAGTGTAACTTAAATTAAATTCTAATTGTATGGTAAGCTAATAGCATCAGACATATGACTACTTGTAGTACAATGACAAATGGTGCACCATTCCTGACTGTATGAAAGAACTCAAGAAAGATTGATGGTGTCTGGAAAGTCACAGGAAAACAAAAAAGGGAATAAGACTATAGATAATGAAGATCTCAGATATCCTACAGATAACAAATTGATCTCTTCCCACATCACTCTTATTACTTGGGACCCACGGTAATGAAAATAAAATGAATTAAATAAGAAGACATTGTCCGGTCCCATTCTTGACTAACCCTTTGTCATAGAAAAGAAGATTTATTGAAAGGACTTTGTATTTTTTTTATAAATAAAAGTTTAGCTTTTGACAAACTCCAACAACTTATGTTATCAACTTCATCACCATGAATAAACTTTTCCAGCCAAACTTGCTTATTGATACTGTTATCAAAAATAAAAAAATAAAAGCATGACTAAATAATCAAACAAGTACATTACATCCTCAACATTAGTGGTTACAACCCTTAATTTATTGCTAAAGTAATTAGTATGGGAGTCAATATTTACCTTTTCCACCCTCCACTTGAATCAAGCATCATCCTCACACTTTGAAAATTCACAATTCCACTTCTAAGTTAAGCCAGTGTCCACGTGCAAAATCCTGAGGAAGTTCCTTAAATGCGCTCGTTTTGGGATGAATATTCTGATATGCCCAGTTTGAAAAATCACGCTCCTTATATAACTGTTGCATACCATCTAAATCAAACAGTATGGCCAATAGCAGAAGATCTTCAACTCAGAAAAAAGCTGCATAGAAACACAAAAACATTAATGCTACGAAATACAATGCATTGGTTGATTCAAACATGCATACAGTTTCAAGGAAAATAATTCTACAATTGCTTTACATTAATATCAGGGCAGGTGGAACATATAATATCATAAGAAAAGTTTTCCAGGTCCTGGCAGGTTCAAGCCCCTCTTGCCATTTGGGTTCAAACAATTCCAATTGGGCCATGCCCGCCACCCTTGAAGGTGGAACTCTGCCTAGTGGAGGGGGTTGTTTGCAGTTACAGTGTAACTAGTCCGGCTAAAGGATCGGATACCCATGTTATCCAGCAACAGAGAATAATTAACATGATTCAGATGATTTTTCCATTTAACATCAAGCTCAAATTGAAAACACATAATGATCAAATATCAATACATTCTCTACTTTATAGGAGTTTCATTAACATAAAAAGTAAAACACAAATCAATGGAGGGAAGAAAAATCTTACAATTCAAAATTCTCTGACTCATTTCCGAGCAGATAAATCACATGCAACAAAATAAAAGGAATCCATACTTGGAATAAAATCTGAAGAGAATATTAAAAAAAAATCACGGATCTCTGACCGAAATCCTCCAATTTTCAGCTTCGAGAAGAAGCGGATCGGATCGGATCAAGGAATCAGGTTCCAGTTCGACGGAGATGATGATGTTGATCCGAATCTGAGGTATTTGGTGCGTAAGCTGGAGAGAATTGGATAAGAGTGAGGGGAAGATTCAAACGAGAGAGAGATGGCTTTCCGGCAGCAAGAGAAGTTGCAACGTGGCACTCTTCCGACCCGTTTGGGATGCAGTAGCAATGCTGATTGATAATGTGCAATTATTTGGACTTGTTGGTGGTTGCTGTGTGACATTAATTATGAATTTAATATTAGAAATTTATTTATATTTAAATTTTATATATTATATTTATGTAAAATT